CACGTTTTCAGATCTGGGGTTTGACATTGAAGATTTTGGTTTTAATTCTTGTATATGGATTGATGGTGATGGTTGTGTATTTGTTAGTTAGAACTTAGAATGAATGATTTAGAACTACAAGTTTTTTGTGTTACTGCATCAATAAATGAATAATGATTTTGGAGTCGAGAATCAATTGTTATTTGGTTAGAAATGACTCAGTTGTTTGATTAGTTGTTTAATTTTGGATCTTGGTGTTTCAACGTCATTAAACCTGAAAAAAAAAAAAAAAAAAAAAAAAGGACTGAATTGGGCCAAAAAATGTAGCCCATAATGGTGACTGAATTGGGCCGAAAAAGGCAGCCCATCATAAATTTTAATTAACCGGTTTAAAAACCGGTTAACCGAACCGAATTTTCGGTTCGGTTTATAACCGGTTTATAATCGAAACCGGTCCGGTTTCAGTTCAATTTATTTTTGAAATCGAAAACCGATTCGGTTCAAACAACAGGTTTACCGGTCCAGATTTTTCCACCCTAATTCTTAGATACGAGGATCCATATTATCCTCGATTGGGCCAGGCTGTGGTTTGATCCGACTGATCGCCATTGCCTGTTCGGGAATGCCACTCGGGATACCTTTCCCCTTGCACGCCATCTGCACTACCTTTACATAGCAGTCGCGAGATACGCAATGAGATCTGCTTACTTCCCCTATCCTCGTCAGGGTGGGGAACTTCATCTTGAGATGGTAGATCGAAATGACTGCCTTGAAGTTTCTTAGTAGAGGTCGCTCTAGGATGCCATTGAAAGCTGAGGGGCAATCCACTACCAAGAATTCAGTGACCTTGGTCACCTCGTCGGAGTCACCCAGCGTGACTGGAAGCGAGATCATTCCCTTAGGGATCAGGTGATCCCTTGTAAAACCATATAGGGGGATAGAGGCGAGCTTCAGGTCGGCCTCATCCAATTTCATTCTTTCAAAAGCTCGTTGGAACAGGATGTTCACAATGATTCCATTATCCACCAACATTATGTGGACGTCTCAACGCCCTATTTGGGGCGTGATGACGAGAGCATCATCATGGGGATGATGCAATCAGACTGCATCTTTTTTGGAGAAGGTGATTTCCTCCTCTCTGCAAACCTTTGATGGTCGTTGCGTCATGTTCATCACACGGATAGGGTCGTGATAGGCTGTGCGAGCATATCTTTCTTAGGCACCTCGTGAGTTCCGTCTGAGGTGTGGTCCCCTAAAGATAATCCCCACGCTACAGATACCCTTGCGATCACGACGCTTCTTGCCCAGTTCCTCTCGATTTTTCTCTCTTACGGGAGCAAAGTCATCAACATACTCTTTGAAATGCCCTATTTGATAAGGTCTTTGATTGCCTGCTTGAGAACTCGACACTCATCGGTGTGATGCCCATTGCCCTGATGGTAACAACAGTATTTTTTACTGTTTCTAGCTGAAGGAGGATTTTTCATGGGCTCAGGTTCTCCGAGCAGGCCAACCTCTTCTGACTTGTCAAGAATGGCCAAGACAGATGCATTCAAAGTGGTATATTGATTCCTGTCACGATCACAACGAGGAACTGGAGCATAAGACTTCTTGGGCTTAAACCGCTGTTTCTTTCCTTTCAGTTGATCGTCATTAGCCTATTTGCGATCAATCCTCCTATTTTCCCCCTGACCAGGTACACTGTCTGAAGTGCCAGGGTCGTGGCGGTGGAGCGCCACCACGGAGTTCTCAATACGAAGGATTTCTCCGTAAGGCTGTAGAAGCGGGTGAGAGAAACTTCGTCCTCTGACTGCTGCTCTTTCCATAGATCTGTCTGTGGATGAACTCTCGCTATGATGAGAGTCCAAACGGACTCTTCGGGAGTATGAGCTACTTTATGGAGTTCCCTATGGAACCTATCAATGTAAGATTGGAGGGATTCATCATTCTCTTGCCTTATGTTGTTGAGGTAGCTCAAAGGCATTGAGAACTTCTTATTCGCTTGGAAGTGTCTCAAAAACGTCAAGCTCATCTGATTCCACTAGCTAATCGATCCCGCCGAGAGCTACCTGAACCATCGCTTGGCATAAGATGTTAGAGTTACTGCCAAGCAACAGCATTTTGCCAAGTCAGAAACTTGGTGAAGTTCCATCAGGTCATTGAATTCGTACAAATGATCATGCGGATCAGAATTCCCATCGAACGCCCGCATATCGGGCATTTTGAATCTAGATGGGAGAAGGGCGGCTAACACAGCCGGAGAAAAGGGAGACGCCTCTGTGACCTGCCCTTGCTTATTTTATTGAGCCTTTAGCTGATCTAAAGCTCGTTGTAGCTCTTCAATCTGAGGCAGCGGAGCCATCTGTGGATTGCTTTCCCCAACGCGGGTTTGACCCTCGCGATTGCGGTTGAGGAAATTCCGAAGGTCGGATTCCTCCTCGCCTGGGCCGACAGTTCCGACCGCTCTTGACACACGTTAGCTAGAGTCGTGCAATGGCATTGAATGGTCTAGGGAACTTTCCCGACCTCCACGGTGGTGCGAACCGACCCGCGGATGGTGGGAACTTCCCGCGCGATGATGATCAGAGTCGTCATTTTGGCGATAATGGGAATCTCCTCGCCTTGCACTTTTGTAGGATTGCTCACGTGATGTGACACGGGACAGCTCAGGCCACGACATGTCACCGAGTCTGCGTGCCACGAGTATTCTACTCGGGGTGCGGTTGGTGTTCGCTGGTCCCTCGAAGCCTCTAGGCCCGTTGTTCGCCACCTGTTTTCCCTTCCTTTGACACGCTGCAGTGTGTGCGGCACGGACTATCACCCTTTTTGGCACTTTCATGCGACCTACAGGCGTTTTTGGCAGTGGCACCGCCTCATTTGATTCATGTAGCGCGACCCGATCCAAGCGGTCCAACCTTTGGTTGACCATTTGGAGAGTATTGTTGAACCTCTCCAGGTAGCTCATGACGGCTAAATCAAGCCGTGAGCTTGAAGGGATATCCCCCATAAGATTTTGTGGGACTGGGAGCACTTCGGAAAAAGTGTCCTCTTGCACCTAGGGGGTCTTTTCTTCACCATGATTGGTTCGCTCAGGTTCAAATCGGCGAGCCATTTGTTGTTGTAGGACCGATTAGTTAGAGATTCTCCTGATGAAGGACAAATACTAAATCAAGCCCTCCTTCTAGCGCCAAAATTGTTTATGCGTGATTTTGACACCAACTAAACTCACATGGGTAGTGCTGAGCTGACTCAGAAGACACACGTGTACGGGGGTATTGAACTGAATAAAAGATGAAGAACGGTGTTTAAAGTGGTTCAGATACTTAAGTAAGCGAATCATACGTCCACTGGTATCGTATTAATATATTTGAGATCAAGTCGCGTTCAGCGAGCTGACTTACAAGAGATTACAAGAGAGGAGAGAGAGAGAGAGAGAGAGAGAGAGAGAGAGAGAGAGAGAGAGTATATATGCTATTCCAGAGAGAAATTAGCTAATCCCACAAACGGGAGAGGATCCCTCTATTTATAGTGGGATGAATTGAGGTAATGATTACTAAATCAGGGAGCGGGTCAAATTGCCGTGCAAATTCTTCCTTGCGTCCCGTTGTTCACCTACTCGAGTGATTTACTCGACGTTTGCAGGGATTGGACACGTGGATCACCTCCAGCCTTTTACCAGCCTGGTGCACACCTATTACACTGGCAGGAGCATGCCGCTTGCGTCAGCGTGCAACATGGCTGCATCTGAATGACTGCCGGACTTACCTAAGCTCTGACCGTTTACGCTGACAAGGCTCTATGTCAACCCTACTTTTTCAGGCATAACATAAGGTATCAAGACGAAGTGAGATTAGTAACTTTTAGAATCCATTGCAATAAGGGTGATTGATAATTGAAGGAGAAGAAGTTAAAATTGTGAGATATATAGAAATTGCTTTGCTGAATATTCTTGGTTTGATTGCTCTGGTCAATTCAAGTGACTGTAAAGTTTGTTAACAAGTTGTGGTGGTTGCGACTTTTGACGTAAGAGCATATATAAAGAGATAGAGACATGAATGTTTGGAGTAAAAAAAGAAATTATAAATGAGTGCAGGCGGCTGAGTGTAGCGTTCTGTAGCTTCAATTTGAGGTTGACACTTGACTATGGTGTTAGACCGTTCACTTTTCTTTCTCAGAATTTTGAAATTGGTTGAAGGCAATGCCCAAAAACAAGCAGATTACTGAGTTAATAAAACAAAGCTTAAAAAAAAAAAAAAAAAAAAAGAATTACCCCTATGTAAAGGGAACAAATAATAGGAGAATTACGGGAACATACAAAAGAACAAAGAGTACTACAGTAATGTAAAGTGTAAACGTAAAGAGAAGAAAGAACAGCAGAATAGGGACGTAAAAACTTAATTAATTATAAGGTCATCTTTTAGAGTTACAAATACTTTAGAAGTTTAAAATTATTAAGAAATTGCTTAGATATCCCTATAACCATGAAACAACTGAAAGATTAACATGAGAAGATGGCCTGATAGAGTGAAAGATGGATTGAGAAGTTAAAAGACCAATTACCATACCCAAAAAACAAAAACAAAAAAGGTATTAAGATGATATAAAATCCCATTTTAAAATTAACTGAATTGTGAAAAAACACAAATCAAGGAGATAAAAGATGAAGAAGATTAAAAAGAAAAATCTCTTTGAAATAAAATAAAATATATTTTAAAGTTAAATTTCTTAAATAAAAAGCTTGGAAAGAGTTTTTGTGGTGCATAAATTCCATTACTTAAATATTCTTTTTAAAGGATTGTTGAGTCTGCTAATTGGGCCTCACAAATACAAAACTGGATCCATTTATCAAGTGGGCCAATTAGCTCAATTTTATCTTAATTGTTTGTACATAGAGAGGCTGCTCGAATGTTTTTCTCCATCTTTACTGGATAAATTATTATTATTATTATTATTTTCTTTTTTTTTTATTCTGGGCTTCGACCGAGACATCATTTGTCTATGCGGGATATTGTTGAGCAACAATGTTATCTAAACTATGCAGGTGAACGATAAGATGAAGAGTTAAACTCGGAGGGTGTTCTTCCAGAAAATTCTGTCTTCAGAGATGGAAAGGAACAGGTAAATTGCTTTTTAGTTTTCTGATTGTTGTTTAATTGGTTAATTTTAATGTGATATCACCCTCTTCACAAGTCTAGTTATGGGTTGTTGAACATTACAAGGGTTTAGAAACAGGCTTGCTTTTTTTTAATAAGAATAAACGTAATTCCACTTAGCTAGTTTGCTTGCTGCTAGACTTGTTATACTCAATTCTTTTTTTTTTTGAGTTAGGAAAATTTACTTATGTGACCTATTTTAAGATATCGAATTACCCCCTTTAGAAGGTGAAGGCTTTTGAACATCTTTACCCCACCATCCCAAACAAATCACAACAGCCAAAAAAAAATAGTGTGGAAAATGGTTTCTAAAATTGACAGAATAGGGAAATTTTCTGACCAAATGGGCACCCAGACGAAACAAAGTTAGAAACCATAAAGAAATAGCATTTTAGTTCAACAATTTAGCCAACATTTTACTTCATCATTCGGCATTTCTCACCAAAGAGTTGTTGAGTTTGAAATTTGAATTGATTCTTGGGTGAAGAGGAGGTTCGGGTTCGTCTTTGTTCCATGAGTATGGAGTCAAAGGTAAGGGGTTTCTAAGTTCTCCTTACCATTTAAAGCTTAATATTTAGGGTTTAGGGTATTTTAGATTTAAAGTTATATTAATAGGATTTGTGATTGTAATGGTGCAAATGATTAGAGTCGAGCACCTCAAGTGGCTAGACTCATCAGCTTGTGTGACCTCACTCAAGTTAGATCGGGTGTAGTTGCTGGAGGCGCTTGAGTTTCTTCAAATTCTTTGGAAATCCATTTCAGGTAAACTAAGTATTCAATTTTTAGGGAAATATGGATCGTTTTACTTGCATTAAACTCACATAAAGATAATATGCAATTATATTTACATAGAAAAAGAAAAAGCATAGATCTACCAATTTAAAGGGAACAAAATCTTTAAAAATTACCTCTATACTTGATGAAAATTTATTCTTTATGTACCAGATTTAGAGTTTAGCAATGTGTTTGTTATTAAGGTGCTGTTGATTGAATTAGAGTGAGATGGAGTAGGTTTTGGAGAGAAACTGAGAAGGTGAAGGAGAAGTGATGAGGTTTTTTTTCGCTTAAGGGAAATTTTTTCCAAAAAAGTTAGGAAAGGTCTACAAATCAAATTGAGAGTGGATTATTTTATAATTCGGCCCTTACTTACAAATCAATTACAAAATGGGTTATTTTGTCATTGACATCTTACAATGGGTCATATAATTAATTTTTCCTTTGAGAGTTATACCTTCTTTATATGCTAAGCATACAAAAATGCTAAGAATATACTTTTATTTTTTTATTTTGATGTTTGTCCATGGAACTCTTGTTATTTTCACTTGATTTAATCATTTCATGCAATTCTCTTATCACACAACCTTTATTGTAATCAAATAACAAAATTAAGTGCACTGCTAAAGTAGTATGGAGACAGTGAGTAAGAGATTATAAGAGATTTTGTTGGCATTTTTGTTAAGTACATTGCTGTTTACTAAGATTCTGCTAAAAATAAGTCAGTTAAATCATATGCTTGATCTGATGTTCACATGTTGTTTGTGATGGGCAATGAATCTCTATCTTGCTTATGTAGGCGCTTACATCACTTGCTATACTGAAAGATGTAGAGGAATCAAAGCTGTTTTCTTGTCCTCACATGAAGGGACAAAAGAATGTTAGTTGAAGATACAAGGAAAAAGGTAGTTGAAAGCCAAATCTAGCTTATAGGATCCGAGGTTAGGTTTGTTTTAACAAAAACAAAATTCTGAATTTTCAACCTATTTTGATCCACCCTTCAATAAACAATAATAATGGCCTCTCAAAACCAACTACTTCAATTTGTTTTTCTCCCACACCTGGCTCATGGCCACTTAATTCCCATGATTGACATGGCTAGACTAGTGGCACAGCGTGGTGTAAATGTTACTATTATCACAACCCCTCTAAATGCTTCGCGATTCAAAACAATTGTTGATAGAGCCATTGAATCTGGGCTCCATATCCAACTTTTCCAAGTTCCATTTCCATATTCAGAAGCTGGCTTGCCTAATGGATGTGAGAGCATGGATGCACTCCCTTCACGAGATATGTTCAAAAATCTCCTTGTTGCCATTAGTATGCTACAAAAACCAATTGAAAAAATCCTTGATGAGTTACAGCCTCAACCCAGTTGTATAATTTCTGATAAAAATCTTGTTTGGAGTCACCATACTGCTCAAAAGTATCGGATTCCAAGGCTTGTATTTGATGGGACAAGTTGCTTTTCTCTGTTGTGTACACATAATATATTAGCTACTAAGATTCATGAAAATGTTTCTGAGTTTGAGCCATTTGTGATCCCTGGTTTGCCTGACCGAATACAAATAACAAAAGCTCAGCTACCTAATGCTGTCAATATGGGCTCATCGGATGCTAGAGAACTCCGCTATGAGATTAGAAACACTGAGCTAGCTGCCTATGGAGTGGTAGTAAACACTTTTGAGGAGCTGGAATCATCTTATATTAAAGAATTTCGAAAGGTTAGGGGAGATAAAGTTTGGTGCATAGGACCAGTGTCATTATGCAACAAGGAGAATTTGGATAAATTTGAGAGAGGCGACAAAGCCTCAATTGATGGAGACCACTGTTTAAAATGGCTTGATTTACAGGATCCTAGTTCTGTAGTCTATGTTTGTCTAGGAAGCCTGAGTCGCCTGGCAGCACCACAACTGATAGATCTTGGCCTAGCCTTAGAAGCATCCAGCCGACCTTTTATTTGGGTTATCAAAACTGGGAATAAAGAGTTTGAGAAATGGATATCAGAGGAAAATTTTGAAGACAGAATCAAAGGAAGAGGGCTTGTAATTCGTGGTTGGGCTCCACAGGTTCTAATTTTATCTCACCCAGCCATTGGAGGATTCTTGACGCATTGTGGTTGGAACTCAACTCTAGAAGGGATATGCGCAGGTGTGCCAATGGCGACATGGCCTCTGTCTGCTGAGCAGTTCTATAATGAGAAGTTTATGCAGGTTGTGAAAATTAGTGTGAGGTTGGGGTCTGAGTTTTCGGTGAAATGGGGGGAAGAAGACAAGTTTGGAGTATTGATAAAACGGGAAAGAATTCAAAAAGCTATAGAAGAACTAATGGGAGGAGGAGAGGAAGCAAAGAAGAGAAGAAAAAGAGCAAAAGAAGTTGGAGAGATTGCAAAAGCTGCGTTAGAAGAAGGGGGGTCTTCTTATCTTAATTTGACATTGTTAATCCAAGATATTATGCAACAAGCTGAAACTAATTAGTCTCCCGTTTTCTCCTGTAATGATTTTAGACTGGTTGTAAACAAATTGTTGCTTCATCGGCAATAGAATAGGACAAATCAGATAATTACATACAGAAACTCTGAAATATGGATACCATATGATGCCAGTCAAGTCTTAAAATAATTGAACTCACACTCTCTGTTCTTGTTAGTAATTACATGCAGAAACTGTATAACATGATGGAATGCATGATGTCAATGAAGTCTTTAAATTAACTTTTGCTTTCAGGCTCTGTGTGGTGTGTTAAATCTGTTAATTAATTTAAAGTTTTGAGCTTGTAAGGAAGTGCATAAATAACTGGATATGAGTCACTGTGAAAAGGCAGATCAAAATAAGAAACTGAAGATTCTTCATGCTCTTTAAAATATGTAAATAAATTATGCCAAACTGACTGCAGAACTGATTTTCAGGTGACATACTGTCATGAGGTCATGTGACTTGTCTAAAATTGGAGAATGTTTCTTGCCAAAATTTGAGAAACAGACCCAAATGTTTTGTTCTTTTTCTGGAAAAAAGGATTTAGAAGCAATGACGCTTTTTCATTATATTCATCTTTAAAGAATAAATTTCAAATAAATTTTTCTTTTTTTTTTTTTTTTAATTATTTTCAACATATTTCAAATAGAGCACAAGAAAATGTTTTTACTTCTAATTTGTTGAGATTTGGAACAAAATTGCATTTCTGATTACTACATTCATAAGCATAGTCTACTTCCTTGCTCACTTCTCTTGTCACAAAAACTATTGACATGTATACACTATTTACAATTTTTTTTTTTTTTTTTCGATAAACCTGGTAATTATAGAAAAGAATAAAAGAATTTCCACCTAAAATGAGACTCTCCTTTACAGCCAGGAGCCTTTGGACAAGCCCAAGAGACAAAGCTGCACAAAAGAATCAGGAGCAACTAAGGATACGCCATCTTTATACAATAAAAAACAAAAAAACTGCTATACACTAGACCGCAAGAAACTGGTCCAGAAAACAGCCGGCCTGCCCAACCAGCAAAAGCTCTCTCGGAAACAGTACAAAAATCCAACTTCCGGTGACTGACCAAATCTGCACAAGCTGCAAAAATGCAGGAACCACTGCACAAGCTACAAAAATGCAGCAAACAACTGCACAAACAAACGGATTCTGCCAGGCACAACATAAAATGCAGGACAAATTCACCAACACAAAATACAGCAAACTAAATGTAGGACCAAAGAGCTTGCAACAGCTTCAGTCCTCCCCTGAATTTGCATAATCTCTAAAGTTGAAGATCCAACAGGATCAGGTCTCTTTACCAGCAACCAACTACCAAACTCCAACCCAGTTTTGAAGATCTGATTTAGTAGCTACTGACCTGATTCCACGCAGCATGTTATCAGCCACTATTTACAAAGTTCTTAAGTGAGGGAATAGAGTTTTCTGATGATATGGGATTTTAATAAACACAAAGTTATCGATAGTATGTATTTAAAAATAAAATAAATAAGAGAAAAGTGGACACAAAAACAAGATAACTTCGAAATTTCGAGATTTCAGTTGTAGAGAATATTTTTTAAACTTTAGAATCCAAGCCTTAAAACTGTAAGTCATGAAAGAGACAGCATGATGTTAACTTCTTTTTTAGTTTTAGCCAATTGTCTAGGAATAGTGGACCAATTTCTAATGATCAAACTGGACTGTATGAATGGCAGATTAACTTCTTGGAACATGTACTATGTTATAATCTATATTATATTTTACTTTAAAATTAATGTTTGAAAAAAATAAGATATTAAATTAAATTGAGATTTCTTAACTTAAATTCTTGAAGTAAAAATTTGACACAAATTTTCATTCTATTTAATTCAGTGGTTATTGTTTAACATAACGATCCTTGATGAACATGAATATTTTCATAAAGGAGATATATATGTAAATCTTTCATGAAGATTTGGAAAATCTTCTGGGATTGTAACTCTAATTTGTTTCTTATCTGCACAAATTATTGAGAATAAATTATATTTATTCTCATTTCAGGTACCAACTATAAATATGTCTAACTTGTGATTAACCAAAAAAAAAAAATTAGTTAAAGATAAGCTTGCTAACGACATCACAATTATCTCTCTAGTCTCTATATAATATAACAAAAATCCCCATCACTTAGGATCGTAGCTCAACCGCTGCCACCATTCAAAGCTCTCCTCCAATGGCTACCCAAACTCACCACCAGCTTCACTTCCTCCTTGTTCCTCTAATGTCCCAAAGTCATCTTATCCCCTTCATAGACATGGCCAAGCTCCTCGCTCACCACGGCATGGCCGTCTCAATCATCATCACACCCCTCAACGCAATCCGACACAATGCAATTATCGATTATGCCAAACACTTGAACCTCAACATCCAATTCATCTCCCTCAAGTTTCCTGGTACAGAAGTCGGATTGCCTGAGGGATGTGAGAACATGGATTCCCTCCCTTCTCCAAGCTTAAGCCCAAAATTTTTTGACGCAAGTAATATGTTACAAGAACCGCTAGAAAAATTGCTTGGAGAGTCAGAAATTAAGCCTGATTGTATCGTTTCTGACATTTGTCTCCCCTGGACTTCACATAGCTCGCTTAAGTTTAACATTCCGAGGCTTATCTTCCACACAGTTTCTTGTTTTTGTCTCTTGTGCTCTCACAACATTGAACGCCACAAAGTTGTTGAGAGTATCACCTCTTCTTCGGAGCCATTTTTGGTTCCTGATATGCCTGATTGGATTGAGTTTACTGAACCCCAGTTGCCTATGACAAGATCAAACCTTTCAGATGGTTTTCGATCCCGGTTGGCCACGTTCAAAGAAGCTGAGGATTCGGCACAAGGGATTTTGGTGAATACTTTTGAAGAGCTGGAGCCGAGATACGTTGAAGAATACAAAAAAGTGAAGAAAATTTGGTGCATAGGCCCACTTTTTTTAACTAGCAACACATTTGCAAGAGATTATAATAACAAGGCCTCCAATGATCACGAGTCACTGCAGTGGCTTGATTCCAAACCACCAAGCTCTGTAGTTTACGTTTGCTTTGGTAGCCTTTCACACTTGAAAACTCAACAACTGATGGAGATTGGATTGGGGTTAGAAGCCTCGAATTATTCTTTCATCTGGGTGATCCGAGAAGGAGATCATTTAACAGAACTCGAGAAATGGTTTGAAGAATACGTGTTTGAAGAGAAGGTTAAAGGGCGAGGTCTGATTATTAGAGGCTGGGCGCCACAGATTTCGATACTGTCACATTCGGCGACCGGTGGGTTCTTGACGCATTGTGGGTGGAACTCAACACTAGAAGGAGTGAGTTCGGGGAAGCCAATGATAACTTGGCCGATGTTTGCGGAGCAATTTTACAATGAGAAATTGTTGGTGGAGGTTTTGAAGATTGGTGTGAGAGTTGGGGTTGAGATGTCGGTGACTTGGGCGGAGAAACAAAAGGTTGAAGCTTGGGTGGAGAAAAAGAAGATTAAGAAGGCGGTAGAGATGGTGATGGATGAAGGAGATGAAGGAGAAGAGAGGAGAAGAAAAGCCAAAGAGCTTGGAGAATCGGCCAAGAAAGCTGTCAAACAAGGTGGTTCTTCTTACCTGAATACGACCTGGTTGATTCAACACGTCATGCAACTACAGGTCAGTCATCCATGATCAAACCCCAGTTATAACTTTTGATTTTTTTCTGTAACAAAAAACAAATACTGTAAGGCTAAAATTAATGGTACATTTGTTCTTGTTACTGGAAAGTTAGCAGAGTCTTTCTATATTATGATTAATCTCCTAATTCTTTTATATTCTTTAAGTCAATGAATGAACTTGACAAGAAGGCACGAAATAGTAATCCAATTTTTTTATTTTTATACCTACAACTTCAGAACTAGAAATCGCTTTGAAAGAATAATGGTTGAATGAGAATAGTTTACTTATTTAATTGAATTATCAGTTAAAAAAAATTCAAACCAACATCAATCCATCTCTATGGAAACTCTTGAACAGTAATTGCTGCAAAACAATCTTGAACTTAATATCTTGTGATCAATAAATATATCGAAAATACGAAAATAAGAAAAAAAAAATACAATGCAATTGAACTCATCTTTATAAGGAATAGGATAAAAATTAATAAGATGCATTTGATCTCATCTTTATAAAAAAGGAGACATGTTTGAGATGAAAAAATATTGAAATGGAAAATGTTTGATTGTTAAAATTAAATTCTTCCATAGTCGCAAATCTTTTGAATCATAGGTTAGGAGGAACGTACTTAGTATTTTATAAGTTAAAACAAAATTTCATCATTGAGAGAGCTAGAATTAAAATCCAGGAAGAAATGAAATATTCTCACTTGCAAAATATATTTTTTGGCCCAACAAAACCATAAGACTTAAAAGGGTTTCTAGGCCTAAGAACATTAATAACTCTATGTTTGCTTGCTAAAGTTTTTCAGATACAACTAATTGAATTACTTGAGAGATTTTTTTATTTCATTAAAAAATCAGAAACTCCCAAATATAAAATAGGTTTTTCAAAATAGACATTTAGATTCCATCAATTAACAACCGTACTAAGTAATTTAATTAACAGAAACTATAAAAACTGTATGTTGCAATTTTATTAATTTTACAATTGTTAATGAATTTCTTTGATATACAAGTGAGGAAGATGACGATGAGTTAAACCTATAGGAAGAGCAATGGAGGAAGATTTTCAAAAGCATTCTCTACGTGATTAATGGTTGAAAATTTATATATGTTGCTGGACTTTTGAAGATTCACAGACGGCTTTTGCCTTTATCGTCATGGCTTGGGATCTGTCCTTTGGGTTATGAGTAAGATAATCCGATTAACCGAACCAGATTGCATAAACCAAAAACCAAACCGGTTATTTGGTTTTGGTAAAAGGCTAAACCAAAACCGAATCGGTTTACGAAATAAACCAAATTTAAACCAAACCGAATATTCGGTTCGGTTATCCGGTTAACTAGTTTTCAAACCGAATTTCCAATAAAACCCTAAATTCTACATTTTTTACATTTTAGTCACCAAATGTAGAAATTTATTACATTTTTATTTATTTTTTGGGTATTGTTGTTGTATTATTCCTGTGAAAAACACATTAAACGGTGGTATTTTCAAATACTGAATCTAGAAACACAAAACAAACATAAAGAATTCCATTATACATTAGTTGTTTAATGAAAACATTGGCATAAAAAGTGAAAAGTTTTCAAATAAAAAGTCTTCTTCAAGACTTCAACCATCTTAATTTAGGTCTGACTTCAAAATTCAAATCTCCAAAGTCCAGACTTCTTCAATTCAGGCCTTCATGGTAAAGTAACAATCTGCAATAATGTAAAGGGGAAAAACAAGTCAATAAAAAATAATCTATGAGAAAAGTTCAAACCCGTCTATCACCAAAAAATAACAAACTCTTATCCCTTCTCATCCACAATAATGTAACAATTTCCACAACACAACAAAATGTAACAATTCTTCCAACTCAAGATCTGCATCAAAAACTTTATTTCCACAACATAACCAAATGTAACAATTCTTCCCAAACGACAATGGTCTTTGACAATTCAAAAAGTGCCATGTGCATGTTATTTTCTTTAGTTTCTTGAGAGAGTTGTTCCCATGTCATTACTAACTGCCACAATTATTTTATTCTACAAAAACTTCAATTACAATAAAGAGAAGTATTAATTGAGTTATTTCTATAGCAAAGTATTAATTGAAGTTTCACCACCCACTACTGCAATTCCAAAGGGTCTTCTCTAAAAATAATATAAATAGCCTAGAATCGAAGTTCTATACTTATCATTTATCAAAGCTTCATATCCAGAATGATATGAACACGATCCTGGAGCAGCATAATACAAACTCAACATAGATTTTACACAAGGGACTAAGGGAGCATACAAAACCTTCAAAATTAGTAACAAAATTAATTGAATTTAACCAATGCTTTGAAGAAAAAAAAGAAAGACACCATAATCTAAATTTCATTGACATAAAAAAATGGTGGATGCAAGTATATTTATACTTTTACATTACCCAAATGAACAACAGAATAGTCTCTCGATTAAGAATACTAGTAATGGTGAGATCGAAAATCAATTATGTATTCATCTCAATATCTCACATACAGACAAATCAACATTCAACAGAATTAGAGATGCATTACCTTGCTGAATCGGCAGTTAAGTGGTGGACTACTGGTCGTGGAGCAACTGAGGATTGAATGTCTGAATCGGCGGTGGACTACTGGTCATGGGCTCGTGGTTGTCGTCGTTCGTGGAAGTGGAACTGAAGTCGTGGTCGTCGCCATTCGTTGTTCATGGAAGTGGAACTGGAACTGGAGTCGTGGTCGACGTTATTCGTGGTTTAAGGAACTGGAGCTGTGGTCGTCGTTGGGTGGTTGTCTGGTGGTCACTGGAGGTTGTCGCCATTCGTAGGTGATAATGGTTGATGGTGATGACAAATGCTGATGAGTGATGAGACAGATGGATGGGTTAGGAGTAATGGAGTTTGGTGGTGGGAAACACTGGCGATAGAGTCTGGAGGCAGAGATTTTGCAAAAGCCCAAAAACAATAAAACACATTTTGATTTTCTTTATATACCTAGGGTTAGGGCTAGGGTAAAAACCGGTTTTGAAAACCGCTTTGGGAAAACTCGAAAACCGAACAGGTTTTTTGAATTTTCAATTTTCACAAACCGAATCGGTTTACAAAAAAACCGGATTTTTGATCTGGTTTTTGGTTCAATTCGGTTTCCGAACTATTTCTCCTACCCTTAGTTTGGGCTAATGTTTTAGTTTGGGGTTTTAAGAATTTTAGTGTGGGAAATGATTTTGGTTATAGCGTTTCCAGGATGAAAACATGGTAAATTCTAAATTCGGATGGGAATAAAACGAGCCTAACCTAAACCAAAGAAGCCCAACAACAAACCCCATGATAAATGGGTCTAGAAAAACCTAACTATGGTTCAAGATTGATGACATGACAAAAAAAAGTTAGGGCTGCCTAAGGCCCAAAGTTGAGAAGTCTACCCAAAGGCGAAAAGGGCCTAAACCCCATCAATTTAGTGGAGACTTGTGGCGTAAAGGGGGATATTGTCGCTAACTAAACTTATCTTCTTGCATTGCCATTGTTGGCACCACGATGCCACCAGAAATCATGGCCAAACAGCACTAAAAACACTTCACACATTCAAGAGGACGAGACTATATAAATTCCCGGTTGGTTAAGCGTAAGACTTTGTTCCAAGAATCACTATAATTAATTATTTTCTCTTTGTTTTTGCTTGGGTCTATTATTTATTACTCATAAATATATTTTGTTAGTTACTTTATTTAATTAATATTTATTTTTGTTTTCGGTGAATAAATTTGGAAGCATGTGAAAAAGTCTTTAACTCAAGTCAACTGCTGAGGAATAATGTCAATCCAAGTTGAAGAGAGGGTTTAAGCTTTATTTGGGCCAAGATTATTGAATATCAAAGTGGAGATTGAAGCCCAAAAGAATGAATTCATTCCAAGTGCCCATAATGATAGAGTCACCACTCACCAGCCAACAAGTGTGTATATATATATATATAGACATATATATATATACAAGTGCATATCCATTAACCCACTACTTAAAAAAAAAAAATTATTTAATTTCTCCATAACCGTGTATAACCATTCATCAAAAGAGACAGCACACATACACAAAAACAAAGTTTCATGCTTATAAAAAGATTTCCAACAGTTAAAGACAACCAACACCTCTTACAAGCATTTTCACCATCATTTAATTCCATGTTTCGCCCAGCCTTCTCGGTGTTTCACCGGATTCCGAGTCGAAATTGCTAGTGGTTGTTTAGACTTCACTCTTCAGTGTTCACTGTTTGGGAATCGAGAGTTGGAGTGGAGTCAAAGACGATTCAAAGGCAGAGTCGAGAATAAGGGTTTTTTATTTTTTTGAGTTAAGGATATTTCAGGGTTAGGGTAAAATTTTGGGGAATTGAATAATGAACATATGGATTTAGAATTTTTTGGGAAAACAGTTTGTAAATAGGTTTTAGTTAAGTTCAAAATTCTTGAACCGTTAACAATAAGGGTTTTCCAGTTTTCTCATTTTTGCAAACAAATTGAACTGGTTACTCCGAAAAACCATTTTTTTCAATCCGATTTCCCTGTTCAGTTCGGTTTTCAAATTATTTTTCATAGCCCTACTTTAATCAACCTTCACTCTCCATTGGTATTCTCTCTCCAATTTCTTCATCAAGGCTCAGGAACGATAGTTTATATTGAACCCTTTCTAGGCTCTACAATTTAGTAGGCAAACTATCATTTAATATACTTAATCCCTTAATGAACTTTCTTTTAACTCCTAACTTCATTAATCCATAGATTTCTTCTCACTTCATTTAAAGTTTCATTAACTTATTCATTGAACTCCCTCTTCAATGAAGTCCAAATTAATAAAGAGAAATAACTATCACAAATTCTAACTCTCCCTTCAGTAAGTTAAGACTTAAGTTAATAGAAATTTCTAAATAAATTCTATTAACCGTCACTCTCAATTCAAGTAGCTTTAAAATCCATAAACGTAGCATAATGAATTTCTACGCCCGCACTTTGACCTATCAATGAATAAATAAAGTAAAACTTAAATCATCCTAATGAGAAGAAAATAATCATAACAAGAAATAAAGTTTTGCTTACAATCGACTCATGCAAACCTAATGCATTAGAA